CTGCAAAAAAAATTGATCAAGGGGTAAAATTAGGTAGAATAACTGGGCCATTCAAGAATATCCCTATGTCAAATATCAAGTGCAACCCAATAGGCATTGTTCCAAAGCAAGGGGGTGGTGTATGATTTTTCGCACAATTTAAAAAAAAAAATTAACTTAATGGAACTGTGTCCCCCTCCCATAGACCAAATGATAAACTATATCGCTTACCTATCGTCAGGGGACATCATACTCTACAGCCAAAAACAGGCTTGAACTTGGTAATTTCCCAGACCCATGCCAATTTTTCATAATAATAATATAAAAAAATGCCCAATGGCTTTAAACAACTAAAACATAGGAATGATTCAAGAAATCCAAAAAAAAAAAAAATCCAATAACATTTCCCCTATTAGTCAAGATAATAGACTCTTTGCAACATGTTTGCCGCAATTATTATGAAAAATTACTCTTCTCATCTGCATATGGCCTTGCATAAGTCTTATGTTCGCCCAATTAATGTAGTCTTGTAGATAGTCAGTCTTACTAACTGTACGCTACGTTTGCAGGAACTCGGTGCAAGGTATGGATTGTTGGATCTTCCATTATCAGACGAGTCGAAGAATACTGCACACGTTCAACAATTGGCCAAAACTTGTCTCTGGAGCACCTTAAGATAGATGTAACCTGGTATGGATCAGGGGGGCTAAAATGGGAGCAACTTGATCAACACATTGATAGTTTGTTAAATCGTCATAATGAAATTACGCCTCAAGTACTGTTAGTTCACTGTGGTGGCAACAGTATTGGCCTTCAGTCCCTTAAAAAACTACAAATAGCCATGAAGTCATTATTAGCCTCTCTTCATAAAAAATTACCAAACACTCTTCTTGTATGGTCAAATATACTTCCTCGCAAATACTGGCGTAATATGATTTCAACCGAAGCTGCAGAGAAAGCTAGAAAAAGAATTAATAATTCTATTGGTTGCTTTGTTGTTCAAAAGTTAAATGGGGCCCTCATACGTCACCCAGATATTAAAATTGATCAGCCCAAATTATTCCTTGATTGTGTACATTTATCAGATCTTGGAAATTCTATATTTACAACTACAATTCAAACGGCATTGTCCAAGTTTATGACTTCCAGTCAAAAAGTTTTCCCCGTCCTCCCCTAAAACAGTATCTGTGCATGGCTTATAAAAGAACCCCACATACCATCCCATAATCATATTCCCGATAGTAGTCACAATTGTATTGAGCTGAATTGCATTCCTTATCCCCTATAATAATCCCCTTCTCATCCCCCACCACACACACAAAAAATCATGTTTGATGATGCATTGTTGTGTTGTACTGTATTGCTTTGCTTTACCACATTGACCATTGTTGCTACCCTGCATATTGTTTTGAATTGCTTTGTAAATCATTGAGTTACATAAGACATAATGTCTTGTTTGCCAAATTGTCCGCCACTTGTTGGCGGATGGATTGCTGTCTTGATATTCACGTACAGCAATCCACTTGGCAGAATTTTGCAACAAACCATCGCTGGCAACTTCTGTTTACCCTCCAGGGTTGTCAGCACCATATGGCTCCTCGTTTCTGCAAACCGTTTGCGCCAAATGCAAGATTGAGGATCGGCGCTTACTCATTGACACTTGCAATAATACTTGAGCATTGTCCAATGTTTTCATAGCATTGTTTCATTAGGTAATGACCCTATATTAAACAAAATAAAGCCATGACAGATACTGCCATTATGAATTACTTATTCTTTCGAGATAATTGCATTTACTGCTATGTGCGGTAAATGCCAGTTATCGAAGAAGAATAGTCTAAGCGCGATAACTCCCTCTGCCCTCAAACAAATTTCCAAAATATCCATAAGTCATGTAATGCGCTTGCGCCCACATCCTTTCCGCTTCACCGATTTCGATCACCAACCCACCCTCACCATTTATTTACATTGATATTCTTCATCAAATTTGCATAGTTTTTCATCAATTATCCCTAAAACCTGGTTACATAAATATACATACATACAGTCTTTCTATCTTAGGCATGCTAGGGCATAAATCTTGTACATTCAAGTTTAGTTATTTTTTCTTCTGTGTTTCTGCTGTTATCATTTCTGATTCCAGTGCAACATCGTCCTTCGTCATGGCTTTAGAGACCCTTCCAGGCTGTTATCCATGCTGACGCACTACAGAATTTTGCAAAGCCATCGATGGCAACTTCTGTTTACCCTCCAGGGTTGTCAGCACCATAAGGCTCCTCGTTTCTGCAAACCGTATGCGCCAAATGCCAGATTTAGGATCGGCGCTTACTCATTGACACTTGCAATAATACTTGAGCATTGTCCATTGTTTTCATAGCATTGTTTCATTTTGTAATGACCCTATATTAAACAAAATAAAGCCATGACAGATACTGCCATTATGAATTACTTATTCTTTCGAGATAAATAAGTATCATGTAGTATATCGATTAATAAACCAGTTGAATTAATTTGTATTCAGTCAGAGTTATAGACATTAGAAGAAATAGGTGAAAAACAATTTTAAAAAAAAAACGGAAGTAAACTATATCCGTTTACTTCTTTTAGTTTCTATTCAAGCAAACAGATAGTTCAATAAGATTCTACACTATTAGAATTTTTTTTGAGTGCATGTCCTTTCTTTTTTTTCTTTTTTTTTTGGTACAAATTTACCAGTCCCTTTGTATACAGGCAAATTGGAAATCAAAACACATCTAGCCAATGGTCTAGTTAAAATCAATTGAAAAATTTTCAATATGATTGAAAGACTGCATGTAAATTTCAATAATTTATATTAAATATGATCTTTTAATAAGATTCTCACTCTTTTCATTCTTATTTTACTGATTTATTGCATGCATACCGCCACTTGAAAGTGGGAGGGTATACACTCCTATAGTGATCGGGATGTTCATCCATCCGTCCTTGTGTCTGTACACACCCGTCAGTTCTTCTGTTACACTTAGGGTTACCCATCTCTCATCTACAATCTCTCTTTAACCTCTGAATGAAAGTTAATGATACTGTCACAGAATCGTTTTAGCAAAGTGCCATTGTGCACCTCTTTTTTTACTTTTTGATCCTGCACAACCTTTTTTGATTTCCCTTAGCATAACATGAATACTGCATTTCTTTCTATTATATTACAGGGTACCCATCTCTTATCCGCTACTCATCCAAAATGTATATCGCTGAATAAAAAGTAATGATACTTTCACATATTCTTTATTACATAATTCCTATGTGCACCAGCTATTTTACTTACTGATCTGATACATTTTTTTTTCGGGTCTCCCAAAGCATAACATGGACTAAGCCTTTATATCCACATGTAATGCTGGGGTATTATTTATTGAACCCATTGCTCACAATACCTCTAGTTTCGTATTATTTATTGAACCCATTGCTCACAATGCGTCTAGTTTCGAATTCAAATCATTATAGTATTTAGAAAACAAAAGCCAATAGCAATAGGAAACATTTAATTGCTAAATTTATCAATGGAAAACTTCTCATGAATACAGTATTTACATACCAATAATTGTTTTATACATATTCACTCGTGTGATTTCTAGTACCAAATTTTTATAAACACAGAATTACTTTTTATGACGAGTTTACATTTTGAATATAAAAAGATAATATCTATGAACAATTGATTAAAGACAAGATAAATAAAAAAACCAAGATTAAAAAATAAACAAGAATATATAAAGATAACAGCTTGTACATTTAATTGAAGACAAGATAAATAACAAAACCAAGATAAATAAGAAAGCAAGATAGGGTTTCAGATCAATTGCTAGTTACATTATTTAAAATAACACAAATTCTATGTGATGATCCCGTAAACCTACAAATACACGGTGTAACAAAGTCAAAATACATAGGTATAATAAAAAATGCACATCAAAGTAAAAAGTTTCAACACCTTAAAATTACTTCTAGTAAACACAATTGTGCAAATAATATGTCTATGTGTTGATTTTAATGTGACATTTTTTGGAATGCATCCATTCTTAAAAGCTGTTTATATGTGGAATATCTCAAGTGAGGAACAATTCCTAGCCCTTTAATTGGTTACCAATTTTATCAGATCAACTTCAAAGGCAGAACGAAGGAGGATAACAACAGCATGCAGTCCATCAAATTCAGGTTTCGGATCGAAGATATGTTAAAACATAATATATGATATTTTACATATCATTTGTGTGTAAGTAAAATTGCAATATTTATTTAAAGCAAAAGTGTCACCTTTACACTAACATTTCAAAACTTGCATTACTTTGTTAAATCTGTTGAATGTTTTCAAACATTTATTTTTACGTAGTAAAATCAAATTTTCCCTGAAGTGAAGACGTTTTTCATCCTTCAAGACATAAGTCCTCTAATCGCTGATAGTATCAATTACAATTAATGAAACAATATTTAAACATCTGTTTATACACTGTATAAATGAAACACATTTACATGTTTATACAATATAAAATGAAAAACTAGGAAGAGTGCTAAAATATTTTCTAATAATTAAAAAAAACGCTCATAGTATATGATCATATATCAAGATTTTGAAATGTGTGAAAAATATGGAGAAATGAGAGCAAAAATATTTAAAAACTTTTTTTCTTTGCATATATAAATTTATTATAGGTACAATTTTATTATTTTTTTTAATGTAAATTAAATTTGATGATAACATGATGATATCATACGAAAAAAATCTTTATTGAACAAAGTTAATTACATTTATACTAAACAAATTAAATATGGATACAAATGCACGTTTCAATAAAGCATCATATGTCATTATTACAACTTCTAATGTAAACAGACCTTTAATCAAATGCCAAGCTCTATAAATTAACACTAAATCTACAAGCTACAAACAGAAAAAATGAGTACAATTTGCTAATAGAAAATAAGATACAACAATGCATTCGCTCTCTCTCACCCTTTCTTTCCCTCTGTCTGTCTGTCTGTATGTCTGTCTCTCTCTATATATAAATATTATAATAGTAATTTTCATGTGTTTTTATTGAAATTATGAATTGATTACAAACTGGCTCTCATTCAAAAGCGATGTTTTAAGTGCCTTATATGAACCACACAGGCTTTGTTCATAAAAAAAATCAGCTTTATGTTCAATCTGTCAGAATTAGTTAAATTTAGTCGCTAGAATAAGTCACAATTTGTATATGCAGTGTAAAAGCACTTAATATACATAATTAATTGCTATAAGTACATGTTGTTTTAACTTCATATTATTATCTATCATACATGTATAACACTGTAAAAGAAAGTGCATCTATCACTATTTAAACACAGGTTTCTCCCTTTATAAATGTTCATCGTAATTTCTTAGTGACGACGTATAGGGTCGACACAATCAAACATGTAGCCTTGGGATTTGAAAAAAAAAAACGTATTATAAAATTTCAAAATAAGAATAAAAATCTATTATAAATCACACAAATTACAAAAACAAGAAACAATGCATCATTTGTAAAATTCTTTCTACCTTAATCTTTTATCGACCTGTATTTGTATCCCGACACATATTTAAAGATGACACTTTACTTCTATATAAAGCTCGACCTGCAGTATTCGCATTAAAGGAAAATGACCAATACATGAGTTGAATTTTCCTAACATTACAATAAAACATCCGTTTTATCATGAATAAAACATACAATAAATCGTACTTTATGTGTAATGCTACATTTTCAACTTGGGTAAAACTGAAGAAACCATTAAAAAGAAATCAAAGTAGTATAAGAAGAGAGGAAAACAGGCTTATAGCAGCCCAAACAAAACCACCGATGTTTTGGTTGTTGTTGACAATTTGTATTTGATGTTCCATTCTAATTTTTTCGAGCATCTTTTTCTCTTTGGCCTTCTCATTTTCCCTCAGTTTTGCAGCGTACTCTTCTTGTTTCTGTCTAATTACTGCTTCGGCTTCCTTGAAATGCTCATTCGTGTACCCGACATCCTGGGAATTTTTATTCATTTCCATAACAATTTTTAAAATCCGTTTTACATCGCTCTCGAGTTCGGTAATGTTTCCTCCCATCCCTATTGCTGTGTATCTTCCGTTTATGTCATTCAGAAGGGCTTTCAGAGTGGATTCGTTATCTAAAGACTCAATGTATTCTTCCAATGTTATGCCTTCATAATCCAATCTATCTTTTCCAGTAAATACTATCATGAGGTATTTCTTTACATCTTTCCCAAATAATTCTAAATAGAAATCAACAGTTTTCTTCTCCTCCTCAGTAAATCGACCAATTTGCAGAACCAAGACAATCGCATGTATACCAGGTGAAGTGATGTTAAAACATTTCGTGATTTCCTTTACCACCTCTTCTTTTGTTTTATTGGTATCATAAAGACCGGGGGTATCAACAACAAGAAGGCTTTTCTGGAAGCGCTTGGAGGTATTAAATTGGACATGGTTCGTGACTGACATTGCAGAGACCTTAGTTTTAAAGGCCCTGAATCCAAGAATAGCGTTTCCCGTAGTACTCTTGCCCACTCCGGTTTTTCCAATAAGAATCAGTCGAGTTTGGTTTACTGGTACACCTACCGTCGAAAAGAATTTCATTAGATTTTATTTTTATTTACAACAAATTGTTAACTTTTGAACAGTATCTGTTAATTTTTGAATCAGGATTTATTTGATTTTTTTTCAAATATTTTTGTAAATATGTCATCGATTGTTAAGGTTAAAGAAAATATACGAAATGTAAATGCTAATAAAATAGCCTGGAGTCTCATGAATTTCACCGTTCTCCAAAAAGTAAACTCTATTTAAAATCCAGATATAGGCACTCTGTCACTTGAGGAATAAAAAAAGGTAAAAACATCCTATTCAGACTTGTTTGCCTAGGGCATTTAGATTTCTGTATGCTAATAATCTTATGTAAAGGTCAATGCAGACTTTCTTCATGTTATGTGCAGGAATATGTAATATCAACGCATTATCAAAGGTAGTATGCATATGAGTTTATTCCATTTACTTAACTAATAGGATGATTTATCAGAATAATTTGACCTACATCTGCATTCTTAGTTTTAGAAGTAAATTTGAAAGTATTTGCATTAGTTGAATACCTACATTGATATTAATAAAACCACAGAGAGCAAGTTTTGATTTTAACATCAGGCATAAGGGAAAAAAAACAGCCTTATCCCACTCACTACCTGCATATATATCTTCATAATATATTATATCATAAGATGCAATACTTTTTTCTTGCATCAGAAACTTTTCTTCAAATCTTTGTACAGGTTATCACATTCTAAAAAATGGACGGGCGTGCAGACAAACTAGACTTAATGCACAATATACTACCATATCTGCATACCGTATTTAATATTCAACTAGAAATGAAGATTAAGTTTAAACCTCTGAGTCAAATATTGAAAAAGTTTCAATACTAATGAACTATCAAGTTAAGGTGGAGTCTTTTACGTCCTTTTTTTTTTCGATAGAAAAAGGCCTAGATATATGTAACTAAGTTTATTCAAAAATCACTTTTTAGGATCAACTCTTTATGGATTAATAATTTATCTATCGGTGAGATAAAAGATATAAATTTTTAACAGGTAAATAAAGCAAAAGTTGCAAGTTGAACTATAAGATCACGTCCACAGATTCATATCAAGTTCTGAGAAGAAAAAGTCGAGAACTTTAATTATTACATTATTTTCATATGAACTATGACAGTACATTGAGCACAGGTATTAAATTAAGTTATAGTAGTTTTCAAAAGAAATTTGTAAAGTGTAATTCATTGCAGCACAGCAAGTTGTTTTTGTGGTGCAAAATTGTCCCATTAGGTATGATCAAGAAAAGACTATTATATATCCTGATTAAGCAAATATACATACCCCATAGTCTTGTTTGGGTAAAATTACCCTTTGCTGAAACACAATTATGGTAATATTTCTTAATTATGCCAAAAAGAAAACGTGTTGTATTTCAAAAATCGCCTTTTTAATTTCCTGTGCATTTTCCACTTACCAACGTCATGATCCAAATGAGATGAACTGAGACCGCTAAAGATCACATTAACGATGGCCAGCAGTAGATATATTCTCGTCAAATTTGTCAACATCTTTTGGAATGCCATCTTTTGGAATGTATTTTGTTGAAAAAAATAATTTAACATGTAAGAGCAAAGTATATGAAGATTTAGAGTTTTTTTTGTTTTCAGACGTTTGATATGCTGGTAGAAAGTATTATTGTTCTTTGAGTACACAATGTATTTAGATTTAATAGATTAAAAGTAAGATATATTGTATAATTAGAAAAGAGAAGCTACTTACAAATCTACATTAACTTCACAAGAAATAAAACAAAAGAAAATATGCAATGAAAACTCTTCAATATGTTCTATAAAGTATTAAAAATGTTTTAAGAATGAAAATCAATTGTTAGAAATGAAGCTTCTTATTTCTGATGTTGCGCTGGACGCTTTAAGTGTAGCGAAATGAAAAAGGAGTATATTTATACCTTCAGCAGCAATGTTCTATTCTTACTTCAGATTTTCCACTGTGAACTAAGAAGTCGGCTTTTCAAAAAGGGTATTTTTTAATACCTTATAGAAAAAACAAATTCTTTCAATGTTATGAAATCCTTAGAAATAAGTAAAGTTTTCCGTATATTTTACTTGCAAAACAATGCAAATTATTTTCAATTATAGTATAGTTTTGCAATAACTTTAAATCATTTGATAATAAGACTATAGTTTGTGTTTTTTTTCAAACTGAATTAAGTGCTATATTAACCTAAAACAACAAATTCATTTAATCAATTAATATAGATGTATCTCTTATTCAATGCTATAAATAAAATTAAGGAAAATTAATTAACATTGATATTGAAGGTGTCCATTTTCGTTGCTTTCGAGGTATGAAGAGACCCACGAATTCATGCCCACCAAGAAATGTAAATTTTATATGCATAACTTTTAAAAAGTTCTTCATCCACGAAATCAAATCCCCATGAACCAACATTTTTTCTCAAACCACGAAAATTTGACCCCACGAAAATATGTGATTTTACAGTAATTGTAATTAACTAATGATCAAAGTTGATTTAAATTTCAAAATTGAAACAAATTAGACCACGCTTAAGAAAAGTTTTTTTAACCGGTATTTAGAAAATGCAATGAAAGAAATTGAGTGGGACCTTTTAATTTTGAAACCCGAATTTATAATTATAAGAAATAACCAACAAAGGAAGCTTGGAGAAAAATGCAATTTGTAAAAAAATAAAGAACAAAACATAATAAATAAGGAAAAATAACATTTCTGTCAAATTAATGTCTCAGCTTATATTAATTTTAAAGTCATGACAGTTAAAGGGACATGTGTGCCATCATTATGTGTGCCATCATTATGTTTTCTTAGACCATGTACTTAAATAAGATTGGACGTTGTATTTTTTGCGTTTTCGTTAGGCTTTTCAGTTTTGTGTAGATGAGAAATAAATTCGTTATACAGGTCCAATTAGAGGTGTACGGGGATTAACTCCGGGTTGTATTCCACACACTTTTCGGCCCTCAGCCTCAAAGTGTATGGAATAAAACGCGGGGTAAATCCCCCTACGCCCTTGATTGAACCTTGATAACTACATATTGTAATACTGTACCACAGCCAACATCAGTTCTCAACATCAGATTTTGAATATTGTTGTCAATGTTACTGCATTAAATTTTATATTTCCGAAACTTCCTTCAAAACATTCCTAGTTATGGACTATTTGATACGTTTGTAAAGAATTAATCCTTTTTACTTATATCTAATAAGTTTAATCTTTTAGCTTAAAAGATTGCTAGAGTTGGTTATTTCAATTTTTTTGTGTTGCAGTCGTTAAGTTTTAATATAAACATTACTCTTTTTTTTTTTTTTTTTTTTTTTTACAAATATCCGTATTTTTCGATACATTTTGCTTTCTAACTGCCTCTCCCATCTTTATATTTTCAAATGTGGAGAACCCTGAGTCAAAATGTATATGTCCTGAGTAAGTAAAAATCAGAGAAAAGTAGAACATATCGTGATTGATGATGAATACAATCGAAAACTAACATTCGTTTAGATAATTCCGCGCTATAGGAACTAAACAAAAGAATATCAAGAAAAATATTAAACTTTTTGTGTGTACTGTATAATTACTTGGACTATAAGAGGGTTTTTGTCCTCCACGATGTGTTTAACAAAGGACTTTATTTGCAAATGAGCAATATTACACGTAGCCCAAAAAATCAAACTTTGACCATATAAAAACTGTAGACGTACTTTTTTTCACGAGGTCATAATTCCGCGGAATTTCAATTCTTGTTTAATCTGCGGGTAGAAAATTACGCGCATTTCTTAGATTGTCCCTATATGCCTTACATTTACATATAGTACGCTTGTACAAATTCCGCGGAAAATTGGTGACCGCGTACTTAGCGTAAATTAATACCACGCGGAAAATGTACTTCTACAGCAGCAATATTCAAAAACAGGGGGGTATCTGCTGACTTAAAAGCATTAAATGTTTTCCTGAACCATGACGTCATATGTTATTACTGCAGGAAATTACCTTAATTAAACTTTTCATGATTTCTAAAGAAAAGGGTATTTATCACGTCGATATTTTGAGTTAAAAGTCATCGAGCGCAGGTCTGCTTCAGCTCAATAATTTGATGTAATGTAAAATATGATAACATCAGTAAAATATGTTAATATTGTTCTGGAGCAGGCCTGCGCTCTATAGATTCTATAGTAAAAGTTTAGCGAATTTTGTCCATTTTCTCCTCTTCCAGAATATAGACTACTTCCCCTTTATAACATATCTAATATAAAGAGCAACCAACTTAACTATACTGATATCAAAAGAAAATTGCAAGCTTCGCGAGCAATATTTTACGATTCTTTACTTTTGCTTCAAACTGAAGTTTGAGGTCGACTAAGAATGGGAAACATTTTACCAGAAAAAAAAACATCGATTGATATATAAGCGTTCAGGAATCATTCACCTTCACAGTAAATATATAATATATATATATATATATATATATATATATATATATATATATATATATATATATATATATATATATATATATATATATATATATATATATATATATATATATATAGAGAGAGAGAGAGAGAGAGAGAGAGAGAGAGAGAGAGAGAGAGAGAGAGAGAGAGAGAGAGAGAGAGAGAGAGAGAGAGAGAGAGAGAGAGAGCGAAACTGTAGGAGGAATAGCATTTTGAAACATTTTTACAGACAGACGGACAGACAGACTGACAGACAGAGAGAGAGAGACGGACGGACACCTTACTATCGCATAAGCTCTTCTGGTATCTGACTAGTAGAGCTAAAAACGAAGCAAATAAACATGAATATATATATGGAAGGCAACAAAGGTAAGATGGTTTCATGGCAATAGAATTTCCTAACATAATTCACTGTTCCTTAGCTTTTTTCACGATGAAATTTTAGATTGTAAACTTATTTAGCAATTATCTGTAAAATGCTTTATAAAAAATGCCTTTTTTCTACTTCTGGGATATGAATTGTTGAAATTTGATGGCTAAAATATAACCAACAAATATGATTTTTTTTAATGCATGCCAATATTTTGTTGATACGAATTTTCGAGTTTCATGATTCTTCTTGTATAAAAATATCGTACCTATCTCTGTAGATATTACTCTTTTTAAAGCACGGGAACTATAAATAAATAAACAGATAAAATTAAATTTAATTTAGAAAAGGTTAAAAGTGGTCAGAAATTGTAACCAGATAAATATAATGTTTGAAAAATGAGAGAAAAAAGAGATGTGCATTTGTCATCCCTAAAGCAATATACATGTACATATATGGCGTATTTTTAATAGATTCAGATTACTAAAATTTAAAAGAATCATTTTATTTGTATCATTGCTTTATGTAAATATCAATATTTCATATGAAAATATAGGACTGTTCTATTAATTACATAATTTAAATCAATTGCGATTAAGATAATTGTTGTAACCCGATCAGTATTAAACTTTTATTTCGCAGTTTAAAATCAATCCGCGTCGATTAATTTTGGCGACCAAGGGAAAATTTTGTAAAATTATTTAATAAAAATAACGATTTGCGGCAAATAAAATTGAAGAGCAAAGAAGCTCGCGGAACTCGGGGAAATTTATCACACGCGAATAAACTTGAGCGATTATTGAAATGTAACATTTTCGCATATTTAATTAAATGCATTTAAACTTTAATTTACAAGAAGTTATGCCAATGAAACGAAAGATACTGTAACTTATAGCGGTGGTTATGTTAGCAAGAATGAATTATCTAGGGAGTTGTTGGAGACTAGATCAAGTGCAGACAAATAAATATATTTGGAAATAAAAAAAAAACATAATTCTTACCTTCTGTCAACCAAGATCTACCAGTCACTGAAAGGTGTTCGGGTTTCACTTAATATAGATACGTATAGCACTGAAAATCGAAAAAACCTGGCAAGAAAAATTATAGTATTTCATACTTGTAACTAGAATTACATGTATCTACGTAATAATTGACAAAAGCCATCTTAAATTTTGATCGAAGACACATGTTGAAATACATTATTCTTTACATTACAAAATTACAAGACTAGTGTCATATTAAAAATTAATATAAAAGAATCGAAAAAATATGTTTCCACTGCCTTTATACAATACACGTGTCAATCAATTAAAATGTTGAAGTTGCAACAGTTTTAAAACATGTTTCAGATATACGTTTTATCATTTATCTAATAAATCGGAAAAAAGTGCATAAAAATGAGTTTGAAACGTATTCATAATTATTCAAGTAAAGCTATCAAAATAAAAAAAAAATCTTTCATATAAACTGTTGAATACGGAGATTTAATGGAACTCAAAATACCAAAAAAAAATTACCATCTTTTAAAAATGTCTTCGGAATAATTATACAATATAAAATATAAAGATTATATAAGGTTCCATAAAACTTAAAGAGACCTAATGCCTATAAATACCATCTCTTTACAACAGATTAAGGTTATAAATACAATGAAATGTGTGAATATTCATTTAAGGAATGCCTTGAAGTTTTGTGTGATTCATTAATGTGTAGATCACGCAGACTTGCACGATGGCATATTTTTCATGACACATTTTACATGTTTGAAA